ACATGGGAAGACATGGCATGACATGACATGACATGAGAAGACATGGCATGGCATGATATGGGAAGGCATGGCATGGCCTGGCGTTGCATGCATAGCGTGGCTTTGCATGGCATGGCTGTAAACAATCCGTTCTGGCAGTTTTGCTGCCATTGCATCTGTACCTTGTGCCATGCACACACACTTCTCCGTATAACTGCAATCTCCCCCCATCTGCCTATTCCTGCCTCCGTTTAGGGTATCGTACATTGGCTTCGTTTCTATTTCTGGATAAACATTGGTTTGTACTAGTTTGAGAGTGGTTTTCAGTCGAAAGTGGCCAGAATAGGCGAGGCCAAGCTCATCTGGGGACTGGAACAAACGAGATCCATTTGTGCTTCGATTCGATCACCACCGTTCAAACTGCAGGTGGTTCCAAGTTTGCCGCTCTTTCATGAAAGATTGGGCCATTTTGCAGCAACCCTGTTGCGAGACACCTCAATGCTTACCATGCTGTATTTCCGTTCCATGCTTGCTGAGACGATGAGTCAAAAAAAGAGCGTCAAGGGCTTGCACCTTGCTTGAGAACGGCTCTTGCTCCTGCCTACAATACAATGCATTGGGAGCAAGGGTCATGCTTGGGTCAGATCAGGCCTTGCTGACTGCACCAATTCTCGCCACTCCTGCTGTGCGTTGGGGGTTGAGTAAAGAGTGTACCCTAGTTACACTTTTCTATCTGGTAACCACGTCTACACTGCTGCTCAGCTCGAGTCAGGCACTCCTCCCCTCATCTCCTACGCACGGCCATAAACCCTTTGCCTCACAAGGCCCCTCTCTTCATCTCAGCCCTAAATACTTCCCTCTAAAACCACTATTTTTAAGGCGCCTCAGCAATCTACCCCTCTCTCTTCAGCTCCTACAATGTACAGCCCTGAACCCTTACCTCTACAGCCACTACATTACCCCTTTCAATAGCTCTCTCCATTCATTCTTCCATCGCACTCCCTCCCCGCAGCACCATCACAGATATCAACCTTAATGGCTCTTTGCCAGCTGCTCTCTTCACCATCCCCACTCTCAAGCACCTGTGAGTCGCATATTCCCTCTTCTACCTCCTCCTCCACGGTCCCTCGCTCGTTCCATTCCAAGTTTCCCCCCTTTTCACCCGTCTTTCCCCACCTCCCTCATTCCCCCCTTGCTGCCTTGACTGGTTTTGGGAGTCTTAAGAACCAGGTGCTGCCGGCACCTGGGGTGTGCTGCCGGCACCTGGGGTGTGCTGCCGGCACCTGGTGTGTGCTGCCGGCACCTGGGGTGTGGTGCCTACAGCTTGCTGTCTCGACTATCATCAAGTCTCTCCCATCTCAACATGTCCTCGCTTGTCTTGTCTGTTCCTGTTTTGCCACGCATTGTCGCACCGTTCCTTCTGTTTTGGCCGTGGAGGTGTCTTTTGGCTGTTGAGCTGTCTTTTGTGTACGGTTGAGAAATCACCAATTTTTGCGCTCACAATGCATGTGTGCTCTCACAATGCTTTTGTGCCTTCTGATCCATGTGTCTCCTGTATTCCATGTGTCTCCTGTATTCCATGTGTCTCCTCTAATCCATGTGTCTCCTCTGATCCATGTGTGTGTTGTATTGCATGTGTGCCCTATGATGCATGCATGCATGCCTTCTGTTGCATGCGTGCACGTGATGCATATGAGCAGTGTTATTACCAAGACTCTTATCTCAGGCAGCATCCCTAGCGAAGTAGGCCTCGCAACTGGCCTCCACACCCTGTCAGTCCATGCATGTGTGCATACATGCATGCGTGCATGTGTCCATACACGCATTTGTGCATGAGTGCATGTGTGGAAGTGAGCATGTGTACATCCATGCTTCCTCTGGTCCCCCCTGCACCTGGCATTCAAAATTCCAACCCACATTGGCCCTCCCTTGTGACTCCCGAGTCTCGACCATGTGTTTCCATCCATCCATCCGTCCTCCTGATCCCCTCCATCCATTTCCATCTCCATCCAACCACCCAGGTCTATCTTCATCCGTCCTCCCAGTCCTATCTCCATCCACCCATCCCCTTTTTAAGCTGTTCTCCCATGTTTGTGCGTGCCGCCTCTCCCCCATGTTACTCTGTTCTGCCTGCAGTGATCTGAGTCACAACTGGCTTAGAGGTTCCCTCCCGGCTTCCTTGGGCAACCTCTCTTCTCTTGTGCACTTGTCAGTCCTCTCAATGCCTTTAATTCACCAGTCCTTCCCTCACCAACGCCACACCACACCAGTCTTTCCTCCCCTTATCAACTACATCTCTTCACTTCACGCCGCGCTGTCTTCTCCGGGGGCTTGCACAATCTACCATGCCACAAACAGACCATCGCCCATACCACATACCATGCCCTTTCCTCCCATGCATCAACCACATACCGCATCTTGTCCCACACCACGCACCATCTCCTTGGCCATGCACCATCCATCGCACCTGCCATGATTCACACGTGCTATGCGCCATCTGCCATGGACTCATTAAATCATCCCTGTCTCCTCGATTCCTTGGAGCTCTATGTCACAACCACTTACACGGAGAAGGCATTGTCAGATGGCGAGTCGAGTTTAGCTTGACTCCTTTCTGCGAGTTTCGGAACCTCTCAAGTCGAGTCGAGCAAAATTTGCCAGAGGTTTTTGAGTCGACTCAAAAGTCATTTGCCAGAGGTTTTTGAGTCGACTCAAAAGTCATTTGCCAGAGGTTTTTGAGTCGACTCAAAAGTCATTTGCCAGAGGTTTTTGAGTCGACTCAAAAGTCATTTGCCAGAGGTTTTTGAGTCGACTCAAAAGTCATTTGCCAGAGGTTTTTGAGTCGACTCAAAAGTCATTTGCCAGAGGTTTTTGAGTCGACTCAAAAGTCATTTGCCAGAGGTTTTTGAGTCGACTCAAAAGTCATTTGCCAGAGGTTTTTGAGTCGACTCAAAAGTCATTTGCCAGAGGTTTTCTTCACTCGGAGTCGACTCGTGACTTGATCGAATTGCCAACACACACACACACACACACACACACACACACACACACACACACACACACACACACACACACACACTCTAGGTGAGTTTCAAGAACTTTGCCACGGGTCGAGTACGACTCGACTTTCCACCCCCCTCCCCCTTCTCCCCCCACGCCCTGCCCTGCCCCCCAAATCCGTGGCCACAAACTCGTGTTGCTCTACCCAATCCCTACCATGTTTAGGGCAGGCCCTTGTGTTTCGTGGGTTTGGTTGGGCGTTCCACACACATTCTCAATCTCACTCAAATATGTTCACCCGAAATATCAAATCACCAGCTCAACTCAAGTACTTACAGCACCATCTGCCATGCACCATCTCCCCACAACTTCTCACCAAGCAGTACCATACCATGTTGCACGAACGACGACTTTTTTATTCTGATAAGAACACAACGATGTGCTTCTTCGTCACTCTGCTCGTCTCGTTCCACATTCCAGTCTCTCCTCTCTGGTTTTGGCTACCCTCCTTGCCCTCCATCTTCAATGTTTCCCACATCTCTATGCCCTCCTCTCCTCTGCCCTCCCACCCTCTGCCCTCCTATCCTCTGTCCTCCCGACCTCTGCCCTCCCCCCCCTCCGCCCTCCCGCCCTCTGCCCTCCCCCTCTCCGCCCTCCCCCTCTCCGCCCTCCCCCACTCTGCCCTCCCCCTCTCTGCCCTCCCCCTCTCCGCCTGCACCGTCTCTCCGTCTCCCCTCCTCCTCCCTTTTCCCCGCTTAATTTCACCCTCCTCCACTTAAACCTGCCCTATCCATACTCCAGGAATCTCGAGAGAAATGGGCTTTCAGGCCCCATACCAGAGGCAATCGGCAACCTAAAACACCTGCAGAAGTTGTGAGTGGTGATGGGGTAGGCATGCAAGGTGCCATGGAGGGATCATTGAGTGCTTTAGTGAGTGGGTGAGTGAGTGAGTGAGTGAGTGAGTGAGTGAGTGTGTGAGTGGGTGAGTGAGTGAGTGGGTGAGTGAGTGAGTGAGTGAGTGAGTGAGTGAGTGGGTGAGTGGGTGAGTGGGTGAGTGGGTGAGTGAGTGGGTGAGTGAGTGAGTGAGTGGGTGAGTGGGCGAGTGAATGAGTGAGTGAGTGGGTGAGTGAACAAGTGAGTGAGTTTGCTAGTAACTGACTGAGTGAGTGGGCGATTGAGTGAGTGAGTGAGTGGGCGATTGAACGATTCAGTGAGTGAGTGAGAGAGTGAGTGGAGGCACCCGTATGTGCTAATTCTCCAGCTGTTACAGGCACATTGAATGAGTAACGATGGTGCTGCTGCAGGGTGAATGACGCAAAGTGCTTCCACTATATCATTGTGCTGCTGATGCATGCGCTGCTGATAGTGCTGCAAGCACTGCTGATGCATGCGCTGCTGATAGTGCTGCAAGCACTGCTGATGCATGCGAGGTTACGCATCCCCTCTACAAGCTGTTCCACCACACCCAATTTCCACCTTGGCATGGCATGGTTCACCCTGACACACACAAGGTCACCTTGCTCTTATCCTCCTCTCTCCCCTTCTCCCGTTTCACACTTCTTCCCATCCCCTCCTTTCCCCTACTTCATCCACACTGTACCACTCGACGTCACACTTCGCCGCACTGTACCGCACACATCTCAGGAACCTTGGCAGGCAAAAACTCTCAGGGCCCATCCCTGAGTCAATTGGAGCGCTCACCAACCTGCAAGAAATGTAAGGAAGAACAGGGCATGACAAGGCAGGGCATTTTCAGCTTCTAGAGTGCAACAAGCAGATGTCTTGACTCGAAATTGAAGCTTGGTCTGGTTTAAAGTCAGACCCCACCAGAAAGCACCGGGTCAAGTAGAGTGTGTATGATAAAGCACAGAGTTAACTTTTGAGTCGATCCAAAAGTCAAGTAGTGTGTGTATGATACCGCTCACCAAGTTAACCATACTTGGAAAAGGCAGAGGCCATGTGGGCTTGAGAAGGAATCTGCTGGTAGCATTCGTCATTTCATTTTGACCCTTGTCCCGTGCTTTTGGTTCTTTTGGCTTGCGCATTTGCAACTTGAGCAGGCTTTGAGCCTGCTCAAGTCGGTGTGCGCACGCAGCTCACTGAGCTATGTCTGGATTTGACTTGCACATTTGTTACTTGAGCAGGCTTTTGTTTCAAACCAGGCTGAGTGGCACCATTCCCGCCTCCATTGCCCACCTCACCGCACTCACCAGCCTGTGCACCCATTCCCCCTCCACCCTACTCCTTTCTCCATGCCTTTCTTTCTGCCTGCCACTCGCTTTCAACCCCTCGGCGCCTGCCGTGATTGTATCTGCTCGGTCACCAAGCTTTGGTAGTACTCAACACAAAGGGCAGGGGTAGACAGGGATGCGCGGAGGGGAGGCAGGGACGGGGAGAGGGAGGGAGGGAGGGAGGGAGGGAGGGAGGGAGGGAGGGAGGGAGGGAGGGAGGGAGGGAGGGAGGGCATGTGCTGCGTGTGTGCATGGCATGTTACTCGAAGCACACACATCTCACATCTTACATCTCACGCAAAGCAACCGTGGCTTCACTCTCTCAGGGCACCATCTTGGGGCCCTCTTCTCCTTCCCATGTCCATCCACCATCCACCATCCACCATCCACCATCCACCATCCACCATCCACCATCCACCATCCACCATCCACCATCCACCATCCACCATCCACCATCCAACATCCACCATCCACCATCCACCATCCACCATCCACCATCCACCATCCACCATCCACCATCCACCATCCACCATCCACCCATCTCCAGATATCTCTGCGACAATCGCCTTGCAGGGACCATTCCTGCTGGGATCAGCCGACTCACTAACCTCAGAGAACTGTCAGTGTTACTCTATGTGAAGCTATTTCTTCTCTGTCAACTCTTCCAAGAAATGCCACCTCTACTGCTCGCATGACTGCACTGGTGTTCAAATCTGCCAACCACCCGCCTGTCCCCCTCTGCTTGCAAAAGAGCGCATCCATATTGGAGTTCTCAACAGGGACACCAAAACATTGGAATTTCTCCTTACCGTTCTTAAATGCATCTCATGGCGCCTAGCCTTATTCCCCTTGTGAACGAACTTTGAGGCGCCTCAAATTCCCGTGTGAACTAATGGGCTCCACCCGCTTCACCTCATCTCCATATGCATTTCCTGTTTATCCGACCAATGAAATTCTGGGGAAAAAAAAAAACAAATTAACGAATTCTTCTTCTCCTTCGCCCTCCCCATTTTTGGTCTACTAAGTGGGGGAGAACGCATAAGAAGGGAGGATAGTGGAATTTTTGCGGAACTTTGGCAAGACTTAACCCCTCCAACTCTCGTTCGCTTTGCACCTCCTTCTCATCAGGCCTCTTTTTATTTCCCCTCCCCCCACCCATCTTTCCCTTCCCTTCCCTCTTTCCCTTCAATCCGCTTTCCCTTCAACCCTCTTTCCCTCCAATCATCGTCCCACCTGATTGCAGCTACTTTGCAAACAACCAGCTGGTAGGGCCGCTGCCAGCCATCCACCGCATGGCGCACCTCCAATACCTGCACGCTGAAGAAAACTACCTCAAAGCCACAGCAAACCCACTCCCTCAATGCCCCGCCACTTCCACTCCCTGCAACGGCACCTCCGGATGCCCCGTCTTGTACGTCTACAAGAACTGCCTTGCAAGCGAACCGATCGGGTGCAACTATGAGATGCAGCAGGGCTGCCTTACCACCCGCGGGGTCTTCTGCAGGGAGTTCCAGCCCCAGAGGAGTGCCAGCGAGTGCCGGTCGTTCTGTGGGGCGCAGCCGCTCACCCCGCCGTGCAGTGGCCATGGCGTGTGCTTCATTGTGCCTCACCCCTCTTCGGACCTGCCTGTGTGTAAGGATGAGCACCCGCCGTCGTTCTGCAACCCCAATGAAGGGAGGGCGGAGTGCACCTGTGATGAGGGGTACACGCCAGGGACTGCTGCTGGCACTTGTGTCCCTCAAGGTATGCCTACCTGCCCGCTGATGCCCTTGCTGGCTACTATTTCTGGCTACTAATGTCTTGGGCTTTTTCTAGCTGCTGTTTACGTTATGCTGTTGTTGGGATTGGTTGTGCGACCATTCCCAGCCAAATGAACCCGTGGCAGTGGACTCGTGCAAGAAGTATGACCTGCTCTTCTCCATATGGCGCGGACCAGCAGCGTTGTGGGTGCTTGTGTTTGTGCGCACAACCCCTCCCTTCACATTATTCTATTACCTCCTCCGGAGTTCCCTCCACGCGTACCCTGCTTTGCTGATTTCATGGTACTCTCCTCCCTCGCTTCTCATCCGCCCGGTCTGCAGGAATCGCCTCTGATCTCTCGGGATTCCAGCCACTGTATAACCTGCTGCTGCCGCAGCTTCTCCCACTCGCCGTGCTGCTGCTGCTTCTGCTCTTTCTGCTGGCACTGTTGCCAAGGCGCATCAACCTCCGACCCACCCTTTCCCCCCCCACACGCTACTTCTTTTCAAAGAGAGCCCTTGCTGCCCGGCAAGCTGCTAGTGGAGTGTAGTAGAGGGCACTTGATGGGGCATGGGATAGAAGGGCCAACCACATCTACCACCACCACCACCAGTCCACCATACAGTGTACTCAAGATGCTTACCCAGCAATTTGAAGTGTTGAGTTTGCCACACTTGTGACATGGGTGTCCGATTTGTTTCATTGTTACGTCTTTCTTCACTGCGTTAACAGTGTCTAAAAAAACTGCTCCTTTTCAGGCTGATCAGTTACGGTACATCCACAGAATCTCTGTTTGATTCACGTGATCTTGGCCTTGACTGGTGACCATATTGCCGCATCACTGAGGCTTTGGCTGAGACAGTTCGCCCTCTGTGTTGTTTTTGTACATGTTTTCGAGGTGTCATGAGTCATACTCATGCCTTGTGAGATTGCTTTTGGGTGTGGACACTTGTAACCAGGTTAGAGAGTGCAAGATGGAGGATCAGGACCAGTTGTCACAGCTGCGGCCAATGTGGAGGTAAGGGCAAGTGGTGGAGCACTTATGAACTAATGCTTAGCAGATATGGCGTGGATGTAGGAATTGAGGTACGGTACCATACACCATTGAAAGAAATGGAAATCGAATGTGTTGTAACACAAGCCTTACGTAGGCTGCTTGCCTGTAAAATTGCAAGCATCGCGCCTTCACGAGAGAATTACCGCGGCACGGGGTTGGGCATCTGGAATTTTTCTTATCGCATGCCAATTTTGTTATACCCCATTGCGACGCGAATCCACCTTTTGTCCCGCGCTTCCCGTGGTGCCGTCATTTCGTATTGAAAAACGAGGTGTAGCTATCAGTGTACGGTCACTTCGAAAATGTTTGCCAGGATTACACATGGTCGCCTCCAATATTGTTGGAACCAGACCACAATTTTGGAGGGAGTCCATGTCAAATGTTGTAGCCTGTAGTGAGGTTTGTCTTAGGGGGTACAGAAGTTAGGGTTTGTTATATGTACCCCAACCAACATCAATGGAACCATTCATTCCTCATTCTGACATGGTATCAGCTAGGTTAGGATCCTGTGGGATCCCGTTCCTCCGTTCTCCGTTCGTACCTCCCGAGCCTGATCCTACCTCTCGTTCGTACCAGTTCCGTTGTTACCGCGCCTAGTACCGAGCCTAGCGCCCTTTCCCCCGTCGCTTAGCGCCCTTTCTCCCCGTCGCCTCGCGCCCTTTCCCCTCCCCCCCGTCGCGTCGCGCCCTTTCCCCCCGTCGCGTCACGCCCTTTCCCCCCCGTCGCGTCGCGCCCGTTCCCCCCGTCGCGTCGTGCCCGCCTGTTCCCCCCCCGTCCCGTCGCCCTGTCCCGTCGCGTCACCCTACCCCGTCGCGTCGCCCTGCCCCGTCCCGTCGCCCTACCCCATCGCGCCGCCCTGCCCCGTCGCGTCGCCCTGTGCCGTCGCGTCGCCCTGCCCCGTCGCGTCGCTCCCGCCCTTTCCCCCGTCGCGTCGCCCTGCCCTACGCCCTGGCCCGTCGCCCTACCCTAGGCCCTGGCCCGTCGCCCTACCCTAGGCCCTGGCCCGTCGCCCTCCCTAAGCCCTGGCCCGTCGCCCTACCCTAAGCCCTGGCCAGTCGCCCTACCCTAGGCCCTGGCCCGTCGCCCTACCCTAGGCTCTGGCCCGTTGCCCTCCCTACGTCCTGGCCCATCGCCCTAGCCCGCTCTTCCGCTGCAACTGAGTCCTCTTCCCCCCCGGTTCTTACTCGCCTGTTCGTTCGCTTTAGTTCTCACTATGGCGACTCCGCGAGTTCTTCGTTTCGACGCTGACGGTAGACCACTTGACTTTTCCGTCTGGCTTCTTCGCGCTCGCCGCCTGTTAGAGAGTCAAGTCCAGGGGGGCGAGACCCTCTGGTCACACGCTACTGGTGACCTCCCCGAGCCCCCCGAGCCTACAGCTTTAGGCCCTGCTCCTGACGACGCTGCTACGGCTCGCTTTGCCCGTCAGCGCGCTGACCGGACGGCTTGGACGTCGCGTGACGCTGCGGCCTGCATCGCACTCAGCAGCCTCCTCGCTGAGTCTGAGGAGGTCCACTTTACTCAGGTTCGCACCGCTGCTGCGTACCTCACTGCGATTAAGGCCCGCTACTCTACTCCCGCTACTGTCTCTCTTGGCCGTCTTTTCCTCCCGTTCCTGTTTCCTGATCTTGCCTCGTTTGAGCGCTCTGCTGACTTGATCGCTCACCTCCGCTCGCTCGACGATAGTTACTGCGCTGCTTGCACTGAGGCACAGCTTGCACTGCTTCCTCCCCCCATGGCGATCACTGTCTATTTCATCGCCACTAGCCTCCCTGACCGCCTTGCCTCCGTTCGTGACGCGCTTCTGCTGAAGCACCCTAGTGAGCTGACTATCGAGGTCCTTGAGTCTGCACTCAAGGACGTCGAGAGCAACCTTCGTTCGGTAGCTGCCGCCTCTGGTACTGTGTCCCCCCCACTCTTCCACGGATGCACAGTCCCGCAGTTACCCACCTTCACTGCCTCTCTTGCCACTGCCGCTACTGACGCGACTGCGGCTGCTGTTACGACTGCGTCGCGGTCCCGCGGCAGGGGGGGCAAGAAAGGTGGTTCTGGTGGAGGTGGAGGCGGAGGTAGCGGAGGTAGTGGGGGTGCTGTTGCGACTGGCGGTGGTGGGAGTGCAGCGTCTGGAGAGACCCCTCGTGCAGCGGCTGGTGACTCCACTGCACCTGCTGGTGGCGGCGACCCCCGAGCTTGTCAGTCGCCTCCTGTACTGCCGGCCCCGCTAGGTGGAGCAGCGGCGTGGTACCAGGCTCAGCGTCAGCAGCACCTTCAGCAGCAGCAGCAGCAGCCCCTTTCCTCCCAGCAACCTCAGCAGCAGCAGCGTCAGCAGCTGGCTCCGGGGTCGGGGCTGCGTCAGCCCCAGCGCGGTGCGGCTTACCCTCCCTGCCCCTACCAGGTTCAGACAGGTCCTCGTCGGGGCCACCCTTGTGGCCGCTTTCACCCCCCTGGTCAGTGCTTTGCTCAGCTCATTGACACGGTCCGGTTGACCTACGGGGTTGGCGGTCCTGCTCCTGACTGGCTTACTCTGGTTCAGCGCTACGGCTCCGCTCTGTGGGGCATGTCTGCTGAGCAGTTAGTTGATCTGATTAGTGCTCCTCATGCTATGTATGCTGTTGTTGACTCTAGTGTTTCTGACTCTGTTTACTCTGGTGTTGTTAGCTTAGGTGCTAGTCTTGCTCAGTTGCCTGTTGCTAGTGTAGGTACTTGTGTAGACTCTAGACCAGCGACTACCTCAGACGACGCTTCGCTGTCGTTCACACTGGACTCTGGAGCCTCCCACTGCTTCTTCCGGGACAGCACGACACTTACACCACTTCCTGCGCCTGTTTCTGTAGCGTTGGCTGATCCCACTACGGGACCAGTCACTGCACGTCACACTACCACTTTACCGTGTCCTGCTGCTCCCTCCGGGTCTCTCACTGGGTTTCACGTCCCCTCGTTCTCCCAGAACTTGGTGGGCGTGCGACCCCTCGTGAGTCAGCACGTGGGTTTGTGGTTTGAGCCTTCTGGAGAGACTGCGGTGTGTGTTGACGGAGACTCTTACCAGCCTCTTGCTACCTTTACTGCTGAGCCGGGCTCGGGTCTCTACACTCTTCACACTGGCCCGCGTGCGCCGCAGCAGCAGCCGCAGCAGCAGCAGCAGCCGCAGCCGCAGCAGCAGCAGCAGCAGCAGCAGCAGCAGCAGCAGCAGCAGCAGCAGCAGCAGCAGCAGCAGCAGCAGCAGCAGCACCAGCGGCCGCACCAGCAGCCCCACCTACTGCCACTGCCCCCGGTTCCCCCCCCTGTTCGGGTCCCCGCGTCTCACCAGGTTGCTTCGTCCCCCCAGGTGTCTGTGTCGTGTCAGGTTCCTACGTCTGTTCCAGTCGCTGCGTCGTGCTCCTGCCGGTCGCTTGCCCACCCCACCGTTCTGTGGCACCACCGGATGGGGCACCCGTCCCTTCCTCGTCTGCGCGCTATGTCTAGTCAACGTCTTGTCCTAGGCCTCCCACGTGTCTTGCCGTCGCTGCCGCCTTCGCTTGCGCCGCCGTGTCGTCCCTGCGTCGAGGGTAGGCTGCGCGCCACCCCTCACTCCTCCTCCCTTCGTCCGGCCACCGAGCCTTTTGAGACGCTTCACTTGGACGTCTGGGGCCCCGCCCCTCGTCTAGGCCCTGAGCGTGAGCGTTACTTTCTGGTGGTCGTTGACGACTTCTCCCGCTACACCACAGTGTTCCCTCTGGCGAAGAAGTCTGAGGTGACTTCTACGCTGATCAGGTGGTTGCTCACCACCGAGGACACTCGTGGTCGTCGTGTCAGCTGTCTCCACTCCGACCGTGGGGGTGAGTTTCGCTCCGGCATTCTCGCTGGATTCTGTCGCGAGCAGGGCATTCGTCAGTCCTGGACGCTTCCAGAGTCCCCACAGCAGAATGGGGTTGCTGAGCGCCGCATAGGCCTGGTCATGGAGATCGCCCGCACCTCCCTGACTCACGCCTGTGCCCCCCATTTTCTGTGGCCCTACGCGGTCAGGTACGCCGCGCACCAGCTGAACCTCTGGCCACGTGTCTCTCGACCAGAGGTTTCACCGACCAGTCTTTGGACAGGGTCCCCTGGTGTTGCGTCGCGGTTTCGTGTCTCGGGGTGCTTGGCTCTTGTCCGCGACACCTCCGCGGACAAGCTCTCGCCTCGTGCCTTCCCCTGTGTCTTCCTTGGTTTCCCTGAGGACTCCTCTGACTTCACCTTTTACCACCCTCCCTCTCACCGGTTCTTTGACTCCCGTGACGTCCGTTTCGAGGAGTCCACTCCGTACTACGTCAGGTACCCCAGTCGAGGTCTCCCGGTTCCTCCTCCCCCCCTCTTCCTGACTGCCGCTCCCCCTCCTGCTCCCCCGGTACAGCCTCCCCCCCCTGGCCCAGCCCCGTCAGGTGTGTCCCAGGCTACCCCTCCTCCTTCGGTAGCCCCTCCGGTACAGCCTCCCTCCCCACAGTCCTCCTCGCAGCGTGCCGCTGGTGCTAGCTCTCGAG